AAAAATAATTTAAAAAAAATTGGAATACGTATTTCTAATCCAAATTTCATAACTAATCAGGATTTTTGTTCGATTTATGTTCCAGGACCACATGGAAAGGAGTATTTTCCCACGCCGTTTTCTGACTTTCGCGCGAGGACGCCCGCGCGACCTGGTGCACCGGCCACGGGGAGACGCCAATCGAGTTCAAAAAATACAAATTGTAGTTCGAAGGATGTCTAATAAATGGGTTATAACATATTTGCCCTCCTTGGCTTAAAAAAATTAACGAAAATGCGTTACTTTTTGGACGTTCAAAGTGTACTACCCCCTTAATAACCTCTGATCAGGTATACGAGTTTTTAGGAATAGGAAGCTTTATTTTGTAATTCTAATCCCTAAGCTGGAACCCGGATCTTCAACAGGATTTTATTGGAGCCGCTACCCATCAACGGAAAATCCCATAAATTACCATCAGGTACAGCATTAGTTGATCACAACTGAACATACTTCATCCATGGCGAATGTCAGTCGATAGAGAAACACAGCAGTTGTAAACGGGAGCAACTATCATACGAATCCAACGATGATTGTTTTTCAAGGCTTTTCGGAGAGGCTATTCGGGTAAATGCATTTTCACTGAACCCACGGCGACCACAGAGGTAAAACGGTTCACCGAAAATCATTTAATTACCAAAAACGCGTCAACCATAAACATGACGACGGACTGTAACCTCTCTGATAGAACGCTAAAAGGAACATATTTGATCAGCTTTTCAAATTGTTCTGTGACGTTCGATAATAGAACGTTCAATAATAAAGAGTTGTACTTCAAAGCACGACAAAGCATCATACCACTAGACGGGATACACATCAACCAATCCGATTACGAAATACCACAAATCACACTGCACAAACTTCATCAATTACACATCCATAACCGACAAGAACTCTCGGAGTTTAGAAAAACTAACATCCAACACACCTTCACAAGTTTAGGACTTTCATTGGGAAAATGCATGCCTCAGTTTCGGGAAAATGGAAAATTCATCACCGAAGACAGCAGCAGAAACGACCATCGAATCGGGAAGAATCGATCTCGAGGGGGGAGTAGTTACAGAAGACATCGTTCAAAGCCCCCAAGGCAACCGTTCCACATTCTTGTTTCTCAATCGACCAACATCAACGTCAGCATCAGCGAAATAAACCAAAGGCAACGAAATGCTTAGCTGGACATTATAGCAGCGACGATGGCGACGGTAGCAACAAAAGAGACGACTCTTGGACACAGCAAAAACGTTAAGCCAGCAGTTATCGGTTAGCTATAGGTTTCATTTAATATAAGTTGAATAAACGCACTCATTCAGTGGTCAAATGTGCAAGTGGAACTAGGTATTTTTTTAATACGCTATGCCGAAGACCTAAGTATAAGGCCTGTACTCGAAAAAAATGCACCAGACAAAAGTGTTCGCCAAAAATTTGTTTTAAGTCGGATTTTCTTGAAATTTTCAGGGACTGAACTAATGCATATGGATTATGTTTCGGCATAATTACTTTCTCCAATTTCCTTTCCATCGCTGAAAGCCCGCACCTTTCCCTTAAGACCCCTCATTACATTTTGTGCAATGGTGGAGCCGACCTTTTTGGTCACTTTTATTTATTCTTTCTTCAACTGCAGCTCGTTCTTAAATACCTTGGACGATTTTGGAACTTTGGCCTTCATTATGGTCCAATATCTTTCCACCGGACGAATCTCTGGTGAATTTGGGGGGGTTGGCGGTTTTTTGTACCAAAACAACGTTATTGCCTCTGTATCAATCCAACGTCGATCGCGCGTAATGGCATGATGCCAGGTCTGGCCAAAATAATGTCTCGCCTCTGTGGGACCACAGGAAGGGCAACAGACGCTTCTGGAGGCACTCGGTGCGGTAAATTTCCCTGTTGATGGTACCCATTGTGATGTACAATTTACTCAGTTTACCGCATTGGCATATGGCCTGCCAGAGCAAGTATTTTTTGGCGAATTTGTCCACATTCTTCTTCCGTATGTCTTCCGGAACATCAAACCGTGATTTGGCAACGTAGAACTCCAGCCCCGGTATCTGCTTTGCGTCTGCCTTGATGTAGGTTTCGTCATCCATAACCACACACATAGGTTTCGTTAACCACTCTCGATACAGCTTCCTTGCGCGGGATTTGGCCGCCGGTTGGCATCCTATGACACCATTACTACATGGGATTCTCGCGCATGGAGCAGAAGTAATCCGTCATGCCATACTACCGATCGGTCAACTTTCTGAGGAGGCTGCGGAAGCAAGAAATAAACATTTCCGAAACTTCAGACTCAACTTCTCAAGAAAATTTTCTAGAATCCAGTGCAACAGGGATATGTCGAACAGGCTTCTTCTCAGCTCAGATCCGTTCCTCAGCAGCTCTTGAGCAAACCTTTTTCTACAGAAACTCTGCAGATGTTGGCAAGAAATCAATGCCAGGGGAGCGATCACGATGGAAGCAGTGCTGAAGAATGTTTCGGAGAGGGTTTTGATTCAGATGCGAATGATATGTGATCGATAGTTGTCCCAACCCAAGACCTTCTTTTTGGTATTTCGTTCTGGTTTTCATCAACCCTCAGTCATCTCGAGGGAGATCCAGAGAACTTGCTCGTCACCATGAAGCTTGCCAAAATCGAACGGTTTTGTTTTGTAATTTCTTTTATGATTTCGGACCACGAGTTGACGGATGAGTTTGATAAAGGGGATCATCGGCCTGATTAGTACCTTCCGCAAAATTGTCTTTCGTTCGTTTACTACTTTCTATTTACAATTTTCACACTGCCGTACTATAATGGAACCGGAACTATCAACTCTATACTTGTATCTTCTCATCTATCGACTATAATGTCCACAATATGTCTGATATTTGATGTTAAGCATCTCCAACTATGTAAATCGTTAACTTTACGCATGAAGTAATAAAACATGATTAGTAAAAAAAAAATATAAAACCCAGTTCTGCTATAGGCGCCATTTTGCCCCAGGGTGCCTGAGAACGGTGTAAAAAGTTACTTTTCAAAATAATTTATAACAAATCCAAGAAATAAAAATTTAAACTTAAATTGAATTTGAATTAATGCGTACGTTGTAGAACAGACACGAATGAACTAGAGTCGACAATATTGCAATGTATTAATTGCAATTATTATAGAGTAAATGTCGGCTTCGGCACCCATTGACTGTTTTCGGCAATCAAAATTTAAACGTTAATTTCACTATGTTTTACCATCAACACACTTCCCTGAATGTATCCAAATGATTCTTTAGTCTTTCAGCTTCAATCTGATTATATTTGTAGGACCGAGCAATCCTGTTATGCCAGATTTTTCTTCAAATGAAGCATACGTAATACAAAATGGGGCTGATTTCGAGTTGCCGATAATAGAACAGCTGGTTAACACGCAGTTCTAATGGGAAGGTTGCCGAAGAAAAAGAGGCTTCCGACAATAGTCACACTCACCTGAGAAGTTTAGAGCGTTGTAAAAACGCTTTCAAACAGTTTTGAAGAATTCTGTCGATTGGAATGGATAGAGAAGCAAGCAGCAGATGATTTGAAACAAACAGACACGTCATAGGGTATACGTCCCTAACCTCGGTCTAATATGCAGCCATAGATTACGTTTTTAATCATAACTCATCAATTAATTTACCTGCAAACGATATTCTACTGCTAAATGGTATGCTTAGATATGCTTATCATGTCGTTTGCTATCAGGAACCGCAAAAAGTTGAAAAACTTACTTTTTTTAAGACAAAAACTCACCAGGGAAATGTATGTAATATCGGTCTATTGTCCCCAAATTGGGTCTATTTATGGATGCAACTTCGTCCTATCCTGATTGATTCTCAAAAAAAACGCTCTTGGTAACGTTTTCTTATGTATTTTTTTTTATCACTATCACTGTTAACTTAATACTCTTCATTCCTCAAAACATTTCTTAGAGAAAATTTTACGAAAACTACATTAAATCACTCAAGTTAAAAATTAAAAATTAAAAATTTCGCTTATCGTCTTTCGACCGCAGAATATCTAAATCAAAACATTGTGATGTTCATTATACAGATTTGGCAGAAAAAATCTCCCTTCCTGTTCGTTCCTTATCATCCAAATGCAAACCACATTGTTGACGTTACTCTTATTGCTATATGCTGTCAAATGAATTTCATGGGCCAAAGTTAGGAACATAGAAAAGAAATGTGTCCCTAAAGTTGGGTCCATGATTTACTTGTGAAAACGTTGTTAAACAATTAAAATAAACATAAAATATTCAAACAGTAACTGTGAGTTTTACGTCTAGTGTGTATTATCAGGTAATTCCATTCAATAAATGCCATAATCAGGCCATTTGATGATCGTCAGTGCAACCTTCCCATCTTAACCTTAGAAGTCATGGCGGCTAAAAACTCCGAACAGAGTGATATTCTCAACCAGTTTTATTACTTACGAGAGCTGAAAATGTATTGAAATGTTGTGATATAAATTGATTTGTGTGTGGTACACATTTATCAATCATCAGTGATCAATATTTTCCTTATTTTTTGTGTAATATTCCTTAATTAATTATTTATTTGCGTGATAGGCCGAATGAAAGGACTAGACCCACATTACATACCGTAACCCTATATGTGCGTGACGCTGTGAAAATGCTAATAGAAGTGCGGACGCTGCTTAGATTGACGAGAATACGTAAATTCCCCTATGTAGAAATTATGTCATCCTGAGTGTGGCTATCCTGCCCCGTCCTTCCCCGTCAATGTATCTGAAACATGCAATTTAGGAACGAAATTGAAAACTGAAATCGCTTGCCTTCGAGCACAGCGATCTTTTTTGTTATTGCTCTGTAATTCCCGCTCGACGTTTTTACACTGCAAGCCAAAATATATGGATCCCAATTAAAGTTCCGATTCGGGTCATCGCATTGAGATAATGCTAACTGCTACGAAACAGGGTGTGCACAATGTACTTACCGACAACGCTCAGCGTAACGAAATAGCTGCGCACCGGCTGCGTCGAAATCTGGCACTCATAGATGCCGGCGTCCCGCTTCTGGGCCCACTTGATCTGCAGCGTCCAGTCGTCGGTGTTTTTGTGATGCGTCGCCTGGAAGCGCTGGTCCGAAGTGTAGGTGTAGCTCCCGACGGTCAGAATGTGGATATCTCGGTGCCGTATCCAGGATACCTGCGGAGCGGAAAAAAGGAAAACAGTAAAAAAACAGACGATGAAAATCCAAAACGTTCAGGATGGAAAATGGGTTCGATGGGTTCCGGCAGGGAAAATGGGGTGGAAGTTACCTTGCAGCGGTTTGCGTATTTTTTCAACAATCGTGCAAAAACGAAAAAAAAAGATCGGTCATATCTACGTTTTTTCACTCCTGTCTCTATCATTTCTGTTTCCCCGGTGGTGCAGTGGGTATTATTTGTGCAGCACATCTGTTCCCGAATTTCTGCCCGTAGGACGAGGATTGGATGGCAAAAAAAATGATACGGCGAGGAAATTTTTATTGTGACAACAACGAGAGATTCCTCGTTAGCTGTCCTCGCCCGGAATGTTTCCCGTGATGATTTTTATTTCTGTAAACGACCGGAGATTCTGATGGGACATGATAGTTTTGTAAATTCATTTTTCATGTCGGCGATTTGTCAGGAAATGAATTTCAAATTGTGGTTGCCCCTGGTGGTTTGAGTTTCTATGAGCACTGAAAGTACCTAGAATCGCTGCCTTTGGAGAGCTTACATGGTAGATGTGTCGATTTTTGTAATTATTAATTTTCGGAAGATAACGTCAAGCTTTAAATTGAAGCAAAAAGAAACAATTAGGAGCAATCAGAAGATTTGATATCATACTGTTTCGAGTGAATTGGTAAATTTATTGGAAATACAGTCAGGAATACTTATTGCCGGATTCTTCTTGCCTGACTATCTGCATATAAGGATTATATCATTTGTTTCAATATAGGGGAAATGTATGTAATGTATGTAAATTTTTAACAGCGACCAAAATATTCATATGTATCGTCCTAATGACGCGTTCATCTATCAACATTTGAGCCATTTCCCCTATAAAACTATACTATCTTCGACAAAGTTATTGTTCTGGGTTAGACCATCAAACTTATGCCATTGAATTTAGGTTAAATTGGAAACTATGCCACTAGAGGCGCTTCAAGTTCAACTACTTATGACGGGCGCTATAATATATAATTTGGGTTCACGAGATTCTGGTCTTATAGAAAGTTGTTCAGGTCACCAAGTCCTTTTGAATGATCGTCATATTAGTTCAGAACTCTCTTACTATATGTCGTTAGTGTCCTTTTTTCAATCTGTTTATGTTCTTGCTTGATTGCCGGAATCTGGCCGGCACGACGACAAAGGCGAACTTGTGTACAACGGTGAAATTGTGGTTTCAATCACTGGGCGGACTGGCGCGAACCGAGATAGTTTTCGGACGAGAGTGCAGAAACTGGTCTGTGTTGCTTTGTAGTTCTTAGGTAACTGATTTATTTGTCGTGTTCAGTGTGAGGTGAAGGGTAATCAATTTGGGATGTATATAGATGTATAAGTGTAGAAGCGGTGTTCTGGGTGGTGGGTATTTTTAAGTTAATTTATAATTCATTTTGTTTGTATAATTTGCTCGTAATTTAGTGCTTTCGTGTTAGTACTATAAGTTCTGGGTCGCAACATCACCGGGCCCCGTTGAAGCGCAGCATTCAAGAAGAGTTGGTGGTGACTGTTTCACAATCGTGTGCCTTCGTTGGACCCTGATCTTCGATGGGAAGGACGCATAGTTCAGATGTTGCACGGCGTCGAATACCTAGTTGCGTGCGCACATCCACTACGCGCACGATGTTGTCACTTCCGGGATAGATGGCCACAACTCTGCCAAGGGGCCATTGCATCGAAGGAACGTTATCTTTCTTCACCAAGACCATGGTCCCGACGTGAAACTCGGTTGGGGATTTCCTCCACTTAGCTGGCCGTTGGTGGAGAAGCCCGATGTATTCCGTGGACCAACGCTTCCAGAGATTTTGGACGGAGCGTTGTGTGGCCTGGAAATGGTTGAGACGATTGGTTGGCACCTGAGAAAGGTCTGCCTCCGGCAAATGAAAGGGGGACTCTCCTAGCAAAAAATGGCCGGGTGTCAGGACAGAGAGATCCTGCGGGTCGTTGGAAAGAGGCGTCAATGGTCTGGAGTTCAGTATACATTCAGCTTGGGAAACAACTGTGCGCATATCGTCGTAGTGGTGTGGAGCTGCTCCGATGATCTTCCAGAAATGCCGCTTGAAGGCCTTTACTGCAGCCTCCCATAGGCCGCCGAAATGCGGCGCACGTGGTGGAATAAACTGGAACTCGATGCCTTTCTCCAAACATTCGGTGGTCCATGCAGTGCCGTTGAGTTGATCAACCAAAGCTTGTCGCATCTCCATAACTTCTCGACGCGCTCCGACGAACGTAGTGCTGTTGTCGCAGTGTATTGTACGAACACGCCCGACACGACTCGCGAAGCGCCTCAACGAATTGACGCACGACTCCGTCAACAACCCGGCGACGATGTCGAGGACTACGGCTTTTACGGCGAAACAGACGTACACTGCGACCCAGATTTTTACCGACGCGCCTCTACCTGCCAATGGTCGAACGAAAAACGGCCCACAGTAATCCAGCCCCGTATGCTCGAATACTTTCGCTGCAGTGACACGGCTTGATGGTAGTGGAGCCATAAACTGGTTGCTTGCTGGGGGATGAAAACGAAAACAAGTCACGCAATGGTGGACTGTCCTTCGAGCTAGATCTCTTCCGCGTATTGGCCAGAAGCGCTGACGGATTGTTGCCAGGAGCTGTGTGGGTCCTGCATGCAGTGTTTGATGGTGAACGGAGTTGGCGATCAATCTTGAAAGGTGGTGGTCGGCCGGTAGTATGATCGGGAGGCGGCTGTCGAAGGATCCAGGTGAGTTTGCTAGCCGTCCATTCAATCTGAGAAGACCGGTGTCATCGATCCACACATCAAGGTCTTTTAATGGTGATTTGAAGTCAACCTTTCGCAGGGCCATCCGTTCTTGATCATTGTGCCGCAGGTGGCGCAGTTCCTGCTGGAAACATGCAGCTTGCGTAACACGGATGAGTGACTTCAAAGTACTGTCGTATTCGACCGGAGTGATTGGTCCCACTGTACGAGCCATCCTCGGCAATCGGCAGTTTTTTGCGAAACGTTGACAGAATGAAGAAACTTTGATAAGATGCGACAGTTGTGAGTAATCGTGGATTAGCGAATCGTCAAATGTGACACTTAGGAGTACAACCGTTTGCCGCTGCTCAGGTGTCTGCTGCTGAATGTCGGTCGACGTCAATGGAATTATCGGAGCTGGCCACGATTCCACTTCATTCAGCAAGTAGGACGGCCCATGCCACCACAGTGCATCGTTCTTGATATCATCTGGTTGTACCCCGCGAGATATACGATCGGCGGGATTTTCTAGGGTTGGAACGTGCCGCCACTGGGATCCTTGTGTGAGTTTCTGGACCTCCGATACTCGGTTGGACACGAATATCTTCCAGGACGACGGTGGTGAATTAATCCAGTGCAAAACGATCGATGAATCTGACCAGAACGTGACCGTAGAGTCAAACTTGGTTGTTCTACGAATGGTATCAGCCAACTGGCTTCCCAGTACAGCTGCACAGAGTTCCAACCGTGGGATGGAATAACCACATACTGGAGCAACACGTGATTTTGCTATGAGCAAATGGCTTGTTCGTTTAGTGGAAGGTCCTGTTGATACCGTGTAGATGCACGCCCCATACCCTTTGGAAGAAGCGTCGACAAAACAGTGCAACTCGTAGCTCTTTGCACTCTCTTCGAACACCCACCGAGGGACTCGAAGATTCCGAACGATACCAATTCCTGCTCGGAAGGACAGCCACCATGATTGCAGAATTTCCGGCAGCTTTTCGTCCCAGCTAAGTTTCTCCTGCCATAATCGCTGCACAAACATCTTCGCACTGGCCACCACTGGACCGACCAGACCCAAGGGGTCAAATAACTGCGACATCTCCGATAGTACGAGGCGCTTCGTAACGTGTGGCAGGGCTGGAAAATCAGGGACCTTGAATCCAAATACGTCCTCCTTTGGAAACCATAGTAGGCCCAGTGCCTTGATCGATGCAGATCGGTCGAGTTCTAGCGGCAACTGATGCTCCTTTAGTTCCTCTGGAAAATGTTCCAGAATACTGGGGTGATTCGCGCTCCACTTCCGCAGATTGAAACCACCTCGCTTTAGTAATTCGGTCAGCTGTATGCTGGTTTTAACTAGAGCTTCGATGCTCTCGGATCCAGTTAAAACATCGTCCACATAAAAATCTTTCTTGACAATGGGGGCAGCCAGTGGAAAGTCATGCCCTTCATCGTCTGCCAGCTGGTTTAGGACTCTGGTTGCTAGATACGGAGCACAAGATGTGCCGTAGGTGACAGTGTTCAAGGAATAGGTTTTCAGTGGCTCTGATTCGTTTCGGCGCCACGCAACTTGCTGTAGTAGGCGATCGTCTGGATGAACCAAAGCCTGTCGAAACATTTTCTCCACGTCTGCTTTCATGACGAATCGGTGGAAACGAGAGTTGACAACGATGCACAACATGGAAGACTGAACTGTTGGTCCTGTGAGAAGAAGATCGTTCAAGGAGAGCTGGTTGCTGCTTTTAGCCGAGCCGTCGAACACAACTCTTATTTTGGTTGTTGACGAGTCGGGACGATGGACTGCGTGATGGGGCAGGAAATACTGGGGTAACGCGACGCGAGTCTTCACTTCCTCCATGTGGCCTAACCGTTCGTACTCCTCCATGAAATCGGTGTAGCTCTTGTATAGTGTTTCATCGGAGCGGAACCGTCTTTCAAGGGCAGAGAATCGACGAGCTGCTGTGTTCCACGTGTCTCCAATAGACGGTAGAAGTTCTTGCCTAACTGGTAGACGTACTACATAACGACCGTCGGCATTGCGACTGTGTGTAGATGCGAAGTGGGCTTCACACTGTTGTTCTTCGGCAGTCAGGCATTTCCCGACATCAAAGTTTTCCACTTCCCAGAACCTTTTCACCTGTGCGTCCAGGTTGTCGAAAGCGGAGACCAAGCAGGTAAGTGGAGTGGTCATCGAAGCGGGAACCTTTCCCGAGAATACGTATCCGAAGCTT